TCGGTTAAGGTAGACAGCATGAGAATCAAAAGGGAAGAAAAATGCATGCCGAACAGAAGTGAATAGTGGCGAAGAAAGAATTTATTTTAAAAGGATTGATTTTATTTATATAAATTTGGGAGATAGTTTTTTAAATCATGTACTTAAATAATAGATATATATTATAGTGATTGATCCTCATATCATAGATTGATTAAATATTAGAGCATGTAATGAATGTAAAATTATTATTTCATATTTATCTCTTTTATGATCTTCTATCGTATCTATGCAAGATTAAGCTTTAGTTAAGGATGTTAGTCTTAGACTGATATAATTGAAATATCCTATAAGTGAGAGGTTTTGTGAGGGAGTTAACTAATCAATCATAAATATGGACATGAGAAACACATAGTAAATGTGGATTACTTGATCCTTAATAAAATGAAAGTCGATGATAATATGTTTGATGTCGGAGTAAAACACTAGGATGAGCATGGGCAGGTGGCACTAACATTGTTATGATATATTGTAGAAGTAGATTAGGAGTTGATGTTGAGTTTGTATAGTAGATTGGTAATCTAATTGAATTTTGCACTGATGGTAGCGATGACTCAGTATTCAGTTTCGATGGTGAATCTTATAAGTTTGTTTTGTTTTTTAGAACACTAACTAATTAGATTTACTTAAAAGAAGATAATATAAGTTGATGTAGATGTTCTATTATTAGTGTTACCTATCCAATTAGCATTGATGCAATCAACATTGATGAGGGTATAAAGATGAAGTGATGAGTGTTTATGAAGAAGTTTATAATTAAGAGTCTCTTGTAAGATGCATTTTGTTGCATACTAATATGAAGTGGAGGGTCAATGAACGAATTATGATAATTTACTGACTACAAATCTAGATAAGTAAGATAAATATTATAATTAATAAAGTACTTATCGATACTATATGGGATCTGTAGTAGGGTTAATATTATATAATTTGACCAACTTAGTGATAGAGGGTGGGGTGGTGATTTTTTTGGTATTCTACATGTTCAGATGATAAATCTAAAATGTACTTATTTTGAGATAGGAAAAGTCTAGAAATGTGAACGTTGCTTTCACTCTCGAAAATTAACTTAAGGTTTCTAGATCTTTGATGGAGAATCGATTTGTCACTTGCTCAAGAAATTATTTGATCTTGATGGATAATAGACTAGTAGATATATAATATATCCCTTTTGGAATAAAGAGGACTTAGATTTAAAGTTAACAAAGTTGACTAAAAAAAAAAAAAAATCCAAGTTCCTTATATCGGGATCTTGGAGCTTGGCAAAGTCCATAAATAATTTTTCATAATTTATAAATATAGTTTGAATATTGAGGGTGAATAAAGTAAATAAATTACTACATAAAGATGTCTTCAGTCAATGTCTCATATAAGAAAGCATTGTTAACATATAGTCGACGTACATGATAGCCTTCAGTAATAACCAAACTCAGGATGAGTTAAATTATCATTGGTTTAACAATCAAATTAAAGGTCTTTATGAAATTAATATTTGGTTGTTGGTGAAACACTTTGATTATTAAACATGCTCTGTATTTAGCAATAGATTAATCTGAGTTTCGTTAATTCAAAAGATTCATTGGTATTTGATGAAATTTTGTATGAGGTAAGATAGTACAAGGGTCCATGTTTTTGTGCTTAGATGATACTTGTGGGTTTAATAGGGTCAGATAGAGAGCTTATGGTAACATGAAGATTAAGGATTTGATATGATTTGAAGATGTCATTTTTAGAACGTGTTGTCATGTGATGTCTAAGCTCGGTGATATTATTGGGTTGTATTGAATGTATCCGAATTGGTGAAGAGTTGGTAACACATACCTGATCATGTTGATGCATTTCGGAGTCACTTAGCTAAAAAGAAGATAAAAACATCATGATGCTGAGGGCATTGTTTCATTGGGTGTTACAAAGTGAGTTAGTAAAAAAGGTAGATAAAGAAATTACAAAGGAGGTGAGGTGCTACTAAACTAGAGTAATAATAAAGTAATAGGTCTACGGACAACAACTAGTTGATATGGTGACAGGTGCACTCGAGGGGGTCTGAAGTGTATTCATATGAACCCGGTGATGGGTTGTTGTAGTAGCTCTCATTACTGAAGAACAATATTTTAGAAAGGAAAAGGTAAATTTAATAAAAATAATATGATGTGATTCAAAGATCTTATGAGTACGAGGATCATAGCATTAAAAAATATTATCTTCAAGGGAGTATATGATGAATATACAAGATTTGGATCTTGGCGTTAACTAACGTGAAGCATAATACCATTTATGAAGGTTTTGAGTTTTATAAAATAATTTTTTAAATTATAATTTATATTATAGGATTGGGATAAGCATGTAGTTAATGATGTAGATCGTAGTCTGAAAGACTGTTGATCAAAATGTTAATGACATGGAGGTTTAGTGTAGGAGGGTAAGACCAGTTTCAACTATGTGTCAGTGCTTTTGTTCGACAGAGCTAACTAGTTGATGTGTGTGCAGTAGTGACTTTAGATGTTATATATCACATGATGAGATGTAAATTCTTAAACCTTCATAACACTTCTTTCGTAAGAGTAAACTATTTTAATAGTAGAATTAAAGTTCTCGACTATCTTTTTAAAATAAGTAAAGAGTGACTTCATATTTATATTGACAGAATCATCTATATTTAATAAAGTAGTCTATAAAAATGATATAAAATATAAAATTATCAAAGGAAGTGATTAGGACAAGGTTCCAAATATTAATATAAATAGTTTAAAATGATTTGCAGCAGGATATGAAAGACATTTTAAAAAATAATTTGACTTTTATTACTAAGGCAAACATTATAATGACTTGCAATTCTACGTGATTTGAAAGTTTAAATAAAGTAATAAGAAATTAGTTATTATTGAGTGAAGGATAACATATGATAAAGGTGACGATGCTACATCGATTAGAGCAACAATTGAAATAAACGTGATTGATTGGAAGATTTGTAAAGTTGATGGCTATTTGTAAATGTGTCTTGATTCTAACATTGGAACAAGGATGCCCTCATGTTCAATTCCTTTATAAAAAAATAGTTAGAAAAAAACTTAATAGAGATATTATTATGTATCCAAAATTAAGGTACAAAAATAAAGTTTATTTTAATGTGAGGTACATACAAATATTAAGTGTAAAAGTGCATGCGTGAATTAAGTATTGTGGAACCAGTGTGAACGATAGGGATTTCATTACTATTACCAATGATGATATCTTCGTTATTTTTATAGTCGATTTAAATGAATAAATTCTACAGAATAGAAGTTTATAATGAAAAGCACTAATGTCGATAATCTAATAGCTTGGATGAGTAGTCGGAATAGTTATAATATTTACTTGAGGCTAATTGGATGTAGTAATAGACTTGGGTTGAGATCGATAAATTTTTGCTTTGTGTCCAATTTGGTCACAAAGCTAATAGATAATTTTTTGCTAATTATTATTATTGTGATGCCAAAACTACTTATAATTATAGTGATTACTGTTGAAGTTATTTCCTAAATTGTTTGGGTTGAAGTTGTCAATATAGTTAGGAGAGTAGATGGTGTAACGAAAGATAATGGTTTTGTGTGTCACTTATGTATTCATATTCATGAGACATCTCGTTCAGTCTTTTATTAAAGTTTTTATTTATTTGATTATTATTTCCTTTAGAATTTTGATTGAATCGAGTTGTGATAGTTGGTTTCGTTTTTCTCTCTTCTATAAGTTTCATGATTAATCAATTTGTTATATGTTATTCAAATGATATTGGTAAGTCTTAAGTGTTGGAATTACCATTGAGACTATGATAATAACTTCTTCATCACTCATGAGATGACCTATTAAAGTTAAATTATTAATAATATTTTTTAGATTTTATATATAATCAGTAATAATATTTTTCTCTTGTGTTATTTTCATCAAAGTAAATCATCACAGTAACTTAGTATGTGAGTACAAGAGTAATTAGCGAAAATAGAGCTAGTAACCAATGTCTTATAAAATAAGATGGTTTTGATATAATTATAATTTATGATTATGATTTATCATTAACATTAGTTCTCTTGGTATTTAAATATTTTATATTTAAATATTTTCGAGTGGATCGAGTTATCGATATGACTTAGTAAATCATATTTAAAAAGAACATTGTTGAACCGTACTTGTTAGGATCTATAATTATCGCCGGACAACTTAAAAGAAATTAAAGTAGCTACATTGATGGAATTAAAGTAGCTACATTAAAAGAGATGTGGATCAAGTGTTATCTTATGATCAAATTCAATCAAGTAGGTAGCGAATCAAATTTGATGGATGAGATGGAGTAGATCTGAAATAGATTAAATTTAGAAGAGATCAAATAAATTAGAACTAATAAAGTGGTCTTTGTTGTCCATCTTCTGATTTGATCAGATTTAATGAGGTGGAATAGATCTGGATGAAGATGGCTTTCTTTTCATCATGATGAAGGTGGCATCATGATGCTTACCATTCGTGGGCTTCGAGTCCATACCTTTGTGGAATTTGTTGCAAGTGGATTTACTTTTCCATTGTCTAAAAGTTCGAAAGTAGTATATCTCATGTGCCTTTTACCATTCAACCAATCAAAAAAATTCAAATTAACAATTTTTTATTCTTTAAAAATATTATAAAAAATAAAAAAAATACTTAATAAATCTTTGTTGTTTGTATTCAGTCAGGTTTAAGTTTAAATTAACATTAATTATCAAAAGAGAGAGAAATGAACCATATAAACATGAACCCACCAATAGTGAGTGAAATGAGCAATTAAACAAAAAGGAGTCGCTTCTTGAACCCATTAGGCCTAATATTTCTTTTTTTTTTTGGGTTGAATTTAATCCAACAATTTTAATTAAGAATAATTAACCAGATATTTTATTTAAATAACGTTTATTAATAAATTAATTAATTAATGGGTTAGGGTCACCCGACGACCCGAGCCAAACGCTAGAGGTGCGTTCCGGTGAGACGTTTCCATGTGCACCAAGCCACCATCGACACCGCCATCCGCATTCCCTCCGGTGGTGACGCAGCACACGAGCCAACCATCGCCCCACTGAGCGAAGCGAAAGATCGCTAACTGAAGCACACTACATATCACAGGGTGATGCTGCGGCGATGACGTCCTCTGGTCACCCCCGTCGCCGCCTCGTCCGTGGCTTTGCTGGTTTCTTCTCCTACTCTCTCTTCCTCGTCTCCGTCTCCTCCCTCCTCTGCCCCTCCGACGCCCTCGTACACCTCCGCTCCAAGCCATTCTCCTTCACCTTCATCGACGCGCCCGCCCGCTTCGGTGATTTCCCGCTCCCCCTTCTATCCATTCTAGGGTTAGGTTAGCCGAAAGAATTCGCTAATCTCGGGTGGTGCTTCCAGCTGTTCCGGTCGATGGACTGGGGATCTGCGGATCGCTGCACGCCGCCGAGCCCCTTGATGCGTGCTCTGTTCTCAGGACTAACTGGACTGCCGTAGGCGACGGCGGCGGAGGAGATGCGAGGTTTGTTCTGATCTCCAGGGGCGTGTGCAGCTTCGAGGAGAAGGTTAGGAACGCCCAGGATGGTGGATTTGAGGCTGCGATCATATACGACGACCAGGAGAAGAGCAGTTTGTACTCCAGTGAGTGCACAATACGGCTGTTTCCCACCCTCTCTTGTTCTTGTTCCTGTGATTGCTTTTCCAGTGAGAATGGGCGCCCGCCCCGTGATTATAATTATCTTTCTTCAATTTGTTTGTCAGGTTTTTGAGAAAGCAAAATCTTCCAGCCATCACATAATGTTGTGCACATTAAGTGTCTTCTCGTCCTCCTCACTGGACCAAAGAAGGATCACATTATGGATGCAAACTGGACATTTGTCGTTCGGACCTCTATGTTATATCTTGAGGAGGTCCTTATTGCTGAAGCATACAATCAACTAGTGTGGTGCATAGGATCAACTAATTTTGGATAACTCGGCAATGCAAGGTTTTATGTCAAACTGGTGCTAGTAACTATTTAGGCAGTTGGATAATAAATAGTTCTGGGGTGGATACAGGTTTTCCAAATGTGTTTCGCACCTAGTTGCTGAGCAACTAGTAGCATGATAAAGCCATTTGCTTCAGAAGAAGATTTAGAGTGCAAAAAGAAGGTAATTTGGAAGATTTGTGGACTGATAAAAGTTTTGGAGCGAGAACGACTGACATATAATTAATGATATCATGAAGATGTGAATTTGATCTGTATTCTTTAGGGACTATTTGCTTAATGATACAAGCTAGTTTTTGGAGTTAAATAACACTGTGAATTTGTGATATTATTATTATTATTATTTACAGTTCAAAACATTTTTATCTTACAAGCAAGGTTTAAAGTCATGTTTATGAATCATATCAGGATCTGGCTATTCAGACTGAGGGGTTGGGTTTTGGAAAATTGATCGGATTGTTTTGTCTAATTTGATTCATATATTAGATCATACATAGGGTTTGTGTTGTAAAGGAAAAGGGAATATGTTGCCAAAAGGAGAAGATAAATATTGCTAGAACTGAAGAGAAAATGTTACAGCATATCATGGCCATCTATTAGAATTTATTATCAACCTATGTTGTTGTCCTTTTTAGGCTCGATGATTTACATTAACTAATCCCTTTTATAGCCTAAAATAGATTAAAAGTTTCGGTTCTTTTTCCAGTAGCTGAATTTAAGTTCAGGTAGTAGTCTGGTACCTTATATCTCAATAGATCAAATCTTATACAGACAGCAAGTTTTGTCTCATTTTTAGCATCATGCCCTAGTCTATCAAAATTGCTTATGATTTATTAGTTTAGGTCAACATTAGAAAAGGACTATCACTGTTGTGGTTGATTTAAGTGAAGCAATCTGATCTCGATGACTTTTTTACTTAATTATTCTTCTATTGTAGATAATGGTTATCATGCAACTCTTTGTTAGGTTTATAGAAGATTTTGAATTTTTGAATGTCTTTCTTCTTTCTACCCAACCTGACCCCTTCAAATATCTAATATTACTTCTGATTATCCCTCTTCCAACCATTTGTATGGTTTCCTCATCTGGACTCAACAATTTTCATTTCCATCTTACTTTATCAACCATATAAATATGTTCTGTTCCATTCAAGGACCCGATAAATGATATGAGATCGTCCTGCTACTTGTCCTCATTTGATACTAGCATCTTTTGCTGTAACATCTTTATTTTTCCAGTTCTGGCATTTACAAACTGGCTTCATATATCTTTTAATTTTTTTTCTTGACATGGAACACTCAGTTGGCTGCCATTGCATTTCCAAAATTTGATGTGGAAATATTTTTTTTGCAATTTGACCATTGTGACCAGTCTATATCCATCTTGATTATTTTCTTTTTTTATCTTCATTTGCATGATGCATATCAATCTGCATGGGACATCTGTGATCATACTTTTGAAATACTGAAGTGATTTACTATCTTAAACGTTGAAGATATCCAACTCGATAAGTAGAAGATTTGAAAGATTTAGTGATGGTAAGCTGGTATTGGGATGAGAGACTCAGATGAATGAGCACAACTGGAGGCTTCAAGAACTGTATGATGATTAACTAGCAGATTTGTACTAAGACTTCTTAATGTGAAGGCTAGAAGCAGCTTAGGTCTTGGAATAAAATGATTGATCTATGGATATGAATGGCTGTCCAACAGAGATAGGAACTTATGCTTTCATAACCTGGATTGTCTACCATTTCATAACCTTGATGCATTTTATGAAAGTTTCACATTTTCTTCAGCCTTTTCTGATGTGCATGTTAAGTTCCTTTTTCTCTTGTGACTTGTGGGTACTATGTGCACACTGTGGGTAAGGATCAAATTTGTTTGCTTTTGTTAACTTGTTGGTTTCTTTATGCCTAGATAATGATATCCTTCTCTACATTAAAGCTTATTGGGTGAACTCGTGAGGCTTAACTCTACATGTAATACTGAAAATTAGATGCTTACTCTCCACCTTGATTAAATCATTATTTACTCTTCTTGTATCTTTTGTGCATTCTGTTGTTCAAATCTTTGCCTTCTCATCTATATGTGTTTCTCTTTTCATTATATATTTACATATTATGTGGCTGCAGTGGTTGGAGATTCTGCTGGCATACATATACATGCAGTTTTTGTTTCAAAGATGGCAGGTGAGACTTTAAAGAAGTTTGCTCGAGGTGAAAAGGGCGAATGTTGTGTAGGATCTTCAATGGACGAGACTGCCGGAACCATCCTGGTTATCTCCTTTGTTTCTCTTGTTGTCATAATAATGGTACTTGCTGCATTTATGTTGGCTAGAAACTGTCGGCTTCTTCGGAATGGAGTTCATAGTCAGCCTTCTAGTATGAAAAGAGAAGCAGTGGAAATGCTTCCCTGCTTCACATTTAGAACTGCCTACATAAATAGCAAGCATACAGCAGAGACTTGTGCTATTTGCCTTGAAGATTACAGAGATGGGGATTCCCTGAGAGTTCTTCCCTGTCTACATGGTAAGCTGTACTAATCATATTTCTTGTTCTCCCTGTTTCTTTGTCAAACATTCCATCTTTTTGTAGTTTCTCTTAGTCTTCTGAGGTTTCTTGTTGAAATTATCCAAGATGAATTAGTTCATTGGAATGCATACTGGGAACCATTGGGTGTTATCATCGATAAGATTCATTCATTGCCAATGGGGTTTTTAATGCTTGAAAAAACTTCCTTTTTCCAAACTGGACAATAGTAATCTAGTTTGGTAGCCTTCTGATTTTTCGATTAGGCTTGGTTGACTCCGGAATGATTTTACCCTCAAATATATTGGCAACACAATGAGTTCTTGTTTTTGTCATCAAGTGATTCATAATTTGGAAGCCTGTTGTGGCTCCTGTTTCTCGTCTAAATAATGATTTTACCTCGAATGATGAGTTGTGAATTTTACAGAAATAGATGAACACCTGCTTTGTACTAGTTTATCAGTGATAACCTCTAACATTGATGAAACTAAATTGATTTATAAATGAGTGGTATACTTGGTTGGTTTTGTGTCCCTCGGGCGTTAGTCTAATATTTTGGTTGACATCACCTTGTTCATCACGATGCTCACTTTTTTCTTGTTTCATGATATACCTAATGACTTGTGCAGATTTCCATTTGGTGTGTGTTGATTCCTGGTTAACGAAATGGGGAACATTTTGTCCGGTCTGTAAACGAGACATGCGCTCATGATGAAGGTATATCTACTAACTTAAAATTGATTCAGTTCAACTGTTTACAAGTACTTGGCTTCTATATGTACATCCGGTCATGGTCGAAATTAGACTTTTGTGGGTTTAGGATGATTCTTCATGAAACCTGCTCCAACCAATATCTTGATGGAAATTTGTATTTTGGTGTCAAGAGAAGAATAAGCACGCATGGAGCCAAGGCACCTTGTCATGCACGATGCTATCAAACAAGCAAGTGGGTGATTGTATTCGTCCCAACTTTTGAGCCTCGTTTTGTTTGTATATGTACGAGGGGAAGAATGGGAATGTTATCTTTGTTTGAGATCACTGCGCCTTTGGCAACTTGTGTTCCTGTAGTGTTTTGTGCTTCACGGAGTTGGCTTCTCTGTTATATGATGGCATTGGGCTGTCTGTAACTCTTGTGTGGCCAGAGTGTTGTATCACCTCTACTCGTTGGTGTTTCCAACAAATTGTATATATGTGTAATTATCACTAAACACGCACAAGGTGTGAACCACACGCAGAAGACGCATCTTGGGGTGCCCGACCCCCACCCAAGTGGATGGGCGATCCCATCATTTGATTCTGTAGTTATTACATGTGTTACGTCTTGCTTACCGCCCGGAGCTCAGTTCAGTCGCGCTTTCCGTCAAACAGCTTCTAGGCGCCTAAATACATATCTATGTCTTTGTAAGTGACAAAACTCGGCCTTTTCAGACACAAGTGCTAACTCCCAACTAGAATAGGACTTGAGCTGATCGAACCTAAGTTTTGAACTATGTTTGAATTAAATTAGAGTATTATTCGAATTGAGACTGAGCTAAATTAGAATTTGACAATGATTTTGAACCATTAATCCAAAATGACTGAACTCAAATTAATAAGTACACACCATCATTCCTTAAATAACTTAAGTTTGAGTCAAATTTAGGGATACCAAATCTGTGTTTTGGAAGACTGAGTCTAATCAGTTAATTAAACCCGATTGCATTGAATGTCATCATTGCGAAAGCAATGTATCTCTTCCATTTTGATTACATAAAAGATACGAGTCACTTAGTCGTTACCTAAATAAAGCATGGAAAAGTAGGTATGCGACGACACGATGAATCGTCTCAACAAGCTAATCCCATTAATAACCAATGGAAGGACCCGTCCAAATCTTCACATCATAGGATTCCCTTTTCTTTCTAAAAAATTATAAGAAAAGAATGGGGAAAAAAATATTATAGTATGTCAACTATTTTTCTTGGATCCCCATAAACCTGACATGGGGGAGGCAGAAAGGAAAAGTATCCGAGGCTAAACCTCGTGTGTTCCCCCATCAACAAGATTTCGGCACTCCACGTTACCAAAAAAGGATCAGATCAAATAATAAATAAATAAATAAATATATACCTTCAAATTAAAAAAAAACAATTCATTTATATATATTAATTTATATTTTCTGCTTCCCTCCATAATCCGAAGTTTAAATTTTTAAAATGCCAAATCACATCGAGAAAATCGATTAAAAGAAACAAAAGCGGAGCGTCACGAGCTGGCGAACGAAATCATCGGAGCTCGTCGCCGCGCTCTCCGCCGTCGGATCGGGAACTGCGGCGACAGCTGCGGGCCCTAACGGCGCCGCCCGCTCCCACGAGTGCACGTCCAGCCAATCAATTAGGGTTGTTGTTCTCTTTCCTGGCTCTTAGTCTCTCCTTTGCCTCTTTTGGCGTTCCAAGATTTGGTTGGTTTCTGAAGTTCTGTTTCAGGTTTTGGTGTTGGGTTTCTGACTTCGGTTTTCCGAATGTTCCTTTGACGTTGGTTTGCTCGTGTTGCAGAGAAGATGCCGGCTGGAGCTGGGAGTCGAAGCTAATCGCTTGTGAGTTTCATGTTAATGATCCTGCAAATGAGTGGGTTTCAGCATCTTGTGTTTTCTAGTTTCATTCTTTCACACATACATCACATTGGCAATTGGCCGGGCACTCTTGGTTGTGTTTGGCATTGGGTAGGATTCACCAGCCAATAAAGACAGAGTCTGAATGGGATTTAGATTATTGCTGTTAATTCTAGTGAAGGAATCAGTACCTTTTGCACTATAACAGTTGCTTGTAGGATGTGCAGGATTCCTGCTGTCTGTTCTTTCATCATTGAACCTGTGCCGTCCAGGTACAGTAATCCTTTATTCATGTAGCTTTAGATTTGCTTTGAGGGTTTTCCCGGAATGGTCCGATCGCCGGTAGCATATTCCCTTACAAAAAAATGAACTTGATGCTCATATGGGTTTACTTGCTTCTCTAGCTTTGTTAAGTATCTTTCTAATGTGGTCTGTAGTTGTTGAATGGCCATAGTTGTAACTTTCTTTTATAGAAATAGTGAATCAGTCAGTTTGGTTCCCCCAAATGCACTTGTAGCTTATGAATTGATTGAGGAATTAATCTTCAGAACTTTATTCAGTTTCTTTTGCTAGAATTATTATGTCACGAAACTACTATGTTTTTGTGCTAATATGTAAACCATTTTGTATCAGTTGGTAATTTAAGTGCTTTTTTTTCCTGCATTGGGCGATACCTCCTTTTTGTCCTTATTTCCTTGAATTGACAGTCAGGAAGCAGAGAAGCCCTTGAATTATTTTGGGATATTCTTCCTGATGAGTCCAGAATCAATAGCATTTCGTCAAAAAAGGAGGATGAAGAATGCCAGAAACAAGTACATGAACCCAGGTGCACTTGTGCAGCTCAGTTGCAGCAGGACCACTGCCAGATCTTGTGCAGATGTAGGAATGAAAGGGGTTATCTTGGAGTCTAAGGAAGAAATAGATAAACTACATCAAAATGAGGTTATCCTAGAGAGTATCCCTACCGTGTCTCCTGTTGGGGTCTACCTTCAGCCTGCAACAGAAGTCAGTAAGCAACAGAAACAGCCTCAAACACCTAAAGCACAGCACGCTGTCGATTCTGATGGTCTTTCAAGGCTTGAATCTCTTCCTATGGATCTTCTGGTGTGTGATGGGAACAATCTTTTTTTGATACATTTTCTCATTTTTGTTATCTATGTTAATTTTTTTTATTTGCTTTTATGGCATGACCGATGATTTTATTTCTTTCTTGTTCTAAGGTTAAAATCCTGTGCTACTTGCATCATGATCAACTAAGAGCTGTTTTCCATGTTTGTCAGCAAGTTCGAACAGCAGTAAGTGCTCTTTTTTAGCTTTCTTTGTTGTTCGTATCCCTGATAATTGATGTGAATTGAGCCTCCCTTTTGTTTTATCTTTGTTGATGAGTCTATTCAAACATGTTTGCTTTCTGATAATTGAGTTTCCTTTCTTCTACTCATAGCCTTCTTATATGTACATATATCTCGAGAATTGAGTTACCTTTTCATGACTATTTATGAATGTAGTTTATTATACAATGTCATCCCTAGTTTTGTAGACTTTATAAAAGCTACTTTGTCATAGCTCTTGCAACGACAATTTGTATTTTCTTTTTCATCCCTTCTGTTACTTTTCCATAAAAAAATGTTCTCCTTTCTGAAGTTCCCATCTTGTGCATGATTTCCATAATATTGCATCAAGCTAATTTTCTATCAACGATAGGAGATCATTTGACTATATGTTGTTATTAAGATTGCAGCACAAGCTTTATTTGATTTCCTTGGATAATAATATGACAAGTCTTGTGCTTTGAGCCAGGTCCTTTTGGCTAGGAAACAACATTTTAATTACACTACTCCAGACAGGTCTAGGCAAGGGATGCTTAGGAATAGAACTCCTGTTCCAAGTGAACATTGGTCATTTGTAAGGTACAGCAGAATAAACATAATCATGGAAGCTTCCATTTCCTTTAATTCCTCATTTTTCCTATCTTATGCTTATATTATTTTGCATTTCCAGGAAGGAAGGGAAGGGTATGTGGGTATCAAGCCCACACACTCCAAGAGCTCCGAGACAAGGACCTCGTCCTCCTCGTCTTCACATAATGGATATGAAACAAATTTCAGCTGTTCTTTTCCAGGAGTCTACATTATCTCCAAGGCGCATTGCCCCTCCAGGTTTGCCAAGGCCACTTTTCAAGGCTGTGGCTTCTACTAGAGTTCTAATTTATGAAGATGAGCTCTGCCAGGCAGTAGCACATAATAAGCTTCGTTAAGGCTTCTATTGGAATCTATTTTCCCATATACATTCTGCCCTTTTCCTTTTCTATATGTATATGGCTTAGTATGCAGGTGTGCAGCTTGCAACCACTGCATCTAAGAATTAGAGGACAGTTATGTGGAAATTATCACCTCAAAACGACATTGGGTTGTATATAGATCTTTATACAAATATTACGTGATCCCGATTTTGCTTTTCTGTGAAATATGCCTTTTCTTCATAGATGACATGGATTATGCTTTTGTGCATCATTTAGACTAGGAATCTCTTTCGTTTCTTCCGAGGGAAATTGAAGTGAGGTTTCAAGATGTCATTCCAAAACTCTTGAAATATTACATGTAGAAGTGGAGTGCTGATAATGAATCATCATTCGGAAGAACAAAACAAAGGCACAGAGAAGAAGAGATGATCAGGAAATTCTTTTTAAATGGTCATTATATTGCCTGGCAACAGAACAACACATTTTCTATTTATTACTGGTGAATTATCAAGTTTTAGTTTAGTGATGATGGATACTGCCTTAAAATTTTTTTTATGATAATGTTATACGCTCTCTCTGTAGGGTGATAGGTGTCCCAGAATAAGTACTTCGAAACATCTTCACATGGGGGTGCAGTGAAGCTATTACAAGTAAGTGTAACCTCATAAATTCCTGTGCCGCAGCATCCCCTTGCAGTCTCCTTGAATCCTAACAAATGAAACAATACCAAGTAAGAAGCAAGGTTTTGAGCTTCTGATAAGATTTTCGTGAACCGCTTATGATGAAGATTGCATTGATTATATTTACCATAAGCTTCAGGGCGTTGCATCAGATCAAGCAAAGATGTGTACATATCAATGAAGAGTATTCTTGATCCTGGTAGGGAATGGTTAAGCCTTTGCAACTCTTTTGATAGCTCAGAGTTGTATATGACTGCAGCTTGGTTATAGAGATCGGCACATTCTCTTTCAATCCCTCCTGCCAGAGTTCTTTGTGATGGTAGGCACCCTATAGGAGATATTCCTGAGACACTGATCCTTCGTGCCCCTAAATTGTACAGTTCCTGAAACAAGTTTTGAGCTTCTTTAGTATCTTTGAAACTGAAAGGAAGCCTTGTTTTAGTGCAGCGGCAATAAGAAGACAAACACTGCTCTGCTCTTTTCCTGGTTGTTTTACTTAGCGTTATGTAGGTTTACCTTCACTCATTTAAATCAGTAACTTCCTCTAATTTGCAAATTTTTGCTCAATAGACACACTACTCTTTTTAATCATTTCCTTGCTGTTTGTGGCTTGAGCCAGAAATTTGTTAGGCAGTGATATCTCATTGAACAAGTGTTTTGAACCTTATTTTCGATGAGGATGTGGAACGACAAAACCATCACAACCAATGATTAAATTTCCTGACTGTTGTAAATATGTAAATTTCCAGTGAAGCTGGGAGTTGAATGAAAGTGAAGTTCTGTCACTAGTTTCTAATATGCAAGATTTTCATTATTTTCTTACTATTGAACTAAATAGTCTCATATCCAGTTTTTGATTGACAGTTGCTGAGAAATTTTTTGGTAAATTGTTTATATTTCTTGTCTGCTAATTTATTATTCGGTTGTTGGCAAACGATATCTAAACTTAGTGAAGTCAACTTTTCCATACAGGCAAATAATAAATGCCAAAATGTATGATGTGTATCAGATAGACCATTTATTTTGTTACTAATGGCTTGATAACCAGCAATGGGATGTAAAACTAGATGGAAGGGCTTAATTGTTTGTGAGGATCTATGGCGTTTTAGATCATTATGAATAATGTGGGTTATCAATTTGGATGCTCTTTTATGCTTTTCTATAGTTTAGCATAGCTAGTGAGCTATTTTTTATAGTCAAAATGATTTTTTTTAATGCAAATGTCGATCTTAAAACCTTATAAACAATAATCAAAATCTAAGTCCATGACAATTGTTCAAAGATGGACTAGGCAAACAATTCAAACAAAAGCCCAATGAATTTAGTAGAGAAGAAAAACATAAATAATTCAATAAATATTTAAAATGATAGGTAAAATCTAAATTGATAGGTTAATCCTAGATGAAACATATTGAGCAAATTGTGGTTCTCTGAGAAATTCTTGAAAGCCCTCTTATCAGTACAGTAATGTTGTAGTTTCATTTTTATTGTAGTCTATGCTTTCCCTGAATCTGTTGTAGTCTGCCATTAGTGTACTCTTATGTTGCACAGTTGAAGACGTGATCCTTCCAAGAATCGAACTCAAAATGAGAAGCCATTACTCCATTGCTTTCAGCAAGAGACTCGGTAAAATGAGAAGGAATACCTGCACGAAGCTTGTAGCCGTCTCCACCACAAACTTAATGTAGGAGGGGAGATCGTACTCTACTCTGCGAAACGGTGTGGTAAAGTACGTGTTCGCCAGGTCGTCGGTCCCCGTAATCACGAGGTACAGACTCCTGGAGATGATGTCCCGTGCCTTTCTCTCTCCCGCAATCTCTTCCAGCTTCTTCATGTACTCCTTAAACATGTTGAGTTGCTCACTCATCGGTATAGCTTGCTGCATCAGGCATTCGAGTCTTTACGAGTACAAGAACAGGCAAAACTACAAGGACGGATAGCAACGGATACCACCAATTCACTTGTCAGAGGATCGTATCCCGAGCCACCTGAAGCGAAGCTTACGCCGGTGAGGAGGTCCTCGGCGTCGAGCTCTGTCCCAAGGTATGCTGGTACGAGCTGCTTTATTCCTAGTCTAGAAGCTGGAAGAAACCACCAGGCTTATTTGCTCTCCATTAGTTCATGTAATCTGACTACACTCTCATCACACTTACTACCTATCATGTCGGAGGGGATCTTCCCGTTGCTGAAGCGGCCGGTGGCTTTGTGATCGATGAAGTCTTTGCCGTAGGGCGGGAAGTTGCATTTGACGGTGGTGACGATGGCATTGTTGTTGCCTGGGTCTACGACCGAGTCGCCGAACACTATGAGCGCCGGAGTTGTTCTGTTGGAGGACCTAGCTTGGGCTTGGAGGCCGTAGGGGAGGAGGATTAGTACGCAGAGTCTAGCGAATGAAGCTATCATGCCCATGCTTGCTCTTCCTGTTGCTTTACCGATGGTGTGGGAGGGAATTGATGGCAGCGTCGAGTCTTTTATAGCTACTACATGAAGTTTTACTTTGATTGCTGATTTGCGTACCTTAAAAGGATCATCGACAGTGTGTAATATTTGTGAGCTCAAGAATCACAGCGGTCTACAATCTCCTATCATAGAAGCACGCAAAAGAACAGATTTTTGTGTGGCTTGTAGGTGTTGTCTAATGTGCAAGAGAAGGAATCAGCAGTAGTTCATTCAAATATGTCTTATGAATCCCAAAAATGCTTTCAAGCTTAAACCTTTCTGCCTCTGTTGGAGCCTTAATGGCTTGAGAACAGATATAACAAAAGAAAGAAAAATTTTTCTCAAAAGAATTGAGTAAAGGATAACAAATTATGTTATGCAAGACAAATTTCTTCAGCATAACAGTGCTGAAATTTTTCATAGAACAGTTCTCGACTATTGAAAGCAAAAAAGAGAGTTGATGGACTTTGTCATTTTATTTGGCTTGCAAAAATGCCTACTTTTGAGTCTTCTGGCACTCCTAAAGTTGTTAATTGAATATGGACAGGTAGAAAATTGGCAAAATGAGATTAATAGATAGAAGTTGGGGCACTGAAAGACCCTCATGTTTAAGTAATTAGCTATGATTTTTCCCACCTAACTCAACAATTTAAGCAACAAAGTCATGTAGTGGATGAGAATTGTTTGCCCGACAATTGTGTCAGTATACCAAAAATGCTGAATGTTGGCAATCAAGCTGCCTACATCAACATGTTTAGGTCATGTAATTATAGGTCTTTTCTTTTTCATCAGAACAAGGTCATGGGCTTGGATGGATCTTGTAGTTACTTGTGATGCAAGATGAACTTTTCAGCTACTTGTCTTTTACTCACAGATATTGGTCCCTAATATCGGTGAGAAATATCCAGTATATATGATTAATCCTTAAGTTAAATATTGGCTCATAATTCGAGCAATTATTTTAGAACTGTTAGCTGTGCTAAACGATCAGTAGGAGTTGTGTCATATTCATCAAATGCCAACCTGCATCAGTCCATTATTTGTAGACAGAAGCTCCATCAGGAGAACTGTGTTTCTTCCTCAACGCTGTTTGGGAGTCCATGGCAGCATTCACGAATAATATAAATCACTATTTGCTGCTGTCCAGTTGAATAAATATGAATGGAGCCTTGAGACTGTGAGTGATGAGGATCAGATTTTATTTGCCTAAGTTCCATTTCGACTTGATTGACATTACGTAGATGATCTCTTCTTAAGGGTGAAGCTATCCTTTGTGTGTTCGTCTGCCATTGACACGACGATTACTGTGGGATGGAAGATTCTGCTACATCTGCATCAGTTGATGCGTCGTGATCATCGCATGTCATGGTGGAGAAGGAAGCGTCGGCTTTGCGTTTCGTCCGACTCACTATCAACTCTGGCAGCAGCAGCAACGAGATTCTTTTGTCCACTGCAACTACAGCTCATACATCTGTGACGCTTGGTTGTGTTATCTGTATCCAACCCGATGCATGCATGCCTTTTCCTATTGCGTTTGTGATTTCGGAGTTAATTACAT